TGACCCTGAAGGCTTTACCAAATGATTGTATTTTTGATAAGTATATGTATATATATATATATATATATATATATATATTTGTGAAACTACCACCACATTCTGTTACACCCCAATAGTTCCTTGTATTTTGCAACCCATCCATCTTTCCCTTGTATTTCTCCCCCAAACAACTGCGGATTGGCTGTGTGTCATTAGAGATAAGTTTACATTTTCTAGGTTATATAAATGAAACCATACATTTCATGCTCTTCTTTGTGACACCTTTAACTCAGCATTATAGTTTAAAGGTTCATTAAAAAATTTTGCATTTACCATTAGTTTGAGTGAACAGCTTGTAGATGATGGACAATAGGCAGATCAGTCGATAGTTGCCAATATTGTGGATGTCTCCCTTCTGGTACAGTAGAATGGTCCTGCTGGTTTTCCACTGGGATGGAAACTTGTATTAGACAGATAGCATGTGAAGAGCTGAGCCAGTGTATTGATGAATACTGACGGCAGATTCTTCAGGTGTTCAGGTCTGACCTTGTCTGGGCCCGGTACTGTTCGCTTCTTTACCAACAAAATGGCATGTCGGATTTCGGAAGGTAGAATGTTGGGAACAACATATCCATCCTGCGGAATTTGGTATGTGGGCAATCGGACGTGGCTATTGAAGAGATCCGAGTAGAAGTCATAGATAATCTTCTCCATTGCCCTTCTGGAAGATGTGATAGATCCATCAGCTTGTTGGAGGGCAATCATCTTGGTCTTGTAGTTGACGAAGGACAGGAGGATGTTGCAATACTTTCCCCAGCTTCTGCCGCATCTGCCAGCACTCTTTGAGGTCTTCCTTTATTGCTTCTCTGCCCTGCTTTGTGAGCTCAGATGTTAGCTTGTGGTTGCCTGAGGCCTGTGCCAAGCCACGTTGACAAATGAGCTCGAGAGTTTTTGAAGACAGGAATCTTTTTGTGGCTTTCTCTCAGGATTCTTCGCACAACCATGGAGATGCTGAACCAGTTGATTGTACTCCTCGTCGATGTCGTCAACAACAGCATCTTCCCATGTTGCTGCAATAGTGCCAAAGAGTTCCCAGTTGGTGGTCATTCTGGGAGTTCTCTTCTTAAACTTTGCAGCCTTTTCTCCCCACTCCGTGAAGTAGAATTTTGCACAAAGGAGATGGTGGTTGATCTTGTTTGGAATTTTGGGACAACAGTGACATCAGTCAGGCAAAACCATTGATTGAATATGATGTGGTCAATTTGGTTGTGGAACTTCGCACCAGGAGACTCCCATGTCCTACGTTTAGATTTGGCCTTCTGGAACTGTGAGTTACCATGGATGGTCTTGGTGGACATGATGAACTCAGACAGTCTCTCACCCTGTTCATTCCATTCTAGGCCATGGGTCCTGATGTGGAGTTCTTTGGCTGGTCTTCTAGGTCCTATCTTGGCATAAAATCACCAACAATGATCTTGTAGAAGGTGTGGTCATTTTTATAGAACTTCTCCAGCTACATGTAGAATTTCTCAATTTCTTCTTCATCATAGTTGGATGTTGGTGCGTAGATAATGAAGATAGAAACTGCCAGAAGTGAGCCACATCTATTCAAGTGTAAGCATCCGATTTAGGATGTGAGACATTCAAATGAATCAATGCTCATGGCCAAGTTCATGTTGACGAGGACACTGACACCACCAACGCCTGTTTTGTTGTCCTGAAGAGGATTGGCAGAACACTAAACGAGAGACAACCATGTGAGCAAGCCGCGTTCTGAAAAAGATTCAGCATGATTGACCATATCCACACAGTGACCAAGGTCATTGAGGTTTCTCAGGAGTTCAAGAGGCCGCTCTGTCTAACGTTCATCGATTTAAAGAAGGCCTTTGATTCTGTTGAGACTGAAGTGGCATCGAAGCCCTAGCTAAATGATCAGTACATCAGGATCTTCCATGAGCAGTATGACGACTCATCACCAAGATCTCACCATTCTACAAGGAAGTGATCATTGACGTAAAGAGAGGGGTTTGGCAGGGTGATACCATTTCACCGAAACACTTCAGTGCCGCCCTCGAGAATGTCATGCAACAACTGGAGTGGTAAGTAATGGAGTAGAGATAGACAGCAACTACACCACCTCCATTTCGCTGATGACATTGTTCTAATAACACCAAACATTAACCAAGCGGCACAGATGCTGGCTGACTTCAATCGTGAGTGTGGAAAGATCAGACTGCAGCTGAATCTCACGAAGACAATGTTTATGAAAAACGGACTTGTTCCTGATGTTCCATTTGCTCTCAATGGAATGAACATCTCTGAACGCAGCTGTTATGTGTAGCTAGGTCGAGAACTCAACATGACGAACAACCTGGCACCTGAGCTGCGCAGGAGAAAGAGAGCAGCGTGGAATGCCTTCAAGAGCGTCGAAGAAATAGCTAAGAGGACGAAGAAACTACAGCTCTGGGCACATCTCTTCGACTCCACCATTCTCCCTGCACTAACATACGCCTCAGAGACCTGGGTCCTACAAAAACAGGATGAAAACGCTATTTGGGTTACCCAAAGAGGAATCGAATGAGCTATGCTTGGAGTATCACACTTCACTCAAGTGAAAGAAGGAATTTGAAGTTCCAACCTCCATCAACGATCGAGAATCAGGGACGCTGTCTTGCTTGCCACTGTAGCACTGTAGCACTGTAGCACCGTTGTTCATCAATTTGCTCGAGCGGGCACCAGTAACATCTCCATTGTGAGACTTGTTGTTACTGTTTTTGGCATATTGAATATGCCACGGGGAGCCTGCCAGGCTCTGCTGTGTGGGTTGGATACTCTCGGTAGCTTGCCGGGCTCTCAGAGAGGGATGGACGAAAATCAGATGGGCTGGACACGTAATGCGATTTGAAGACGACCGCTGGACTATAGCTATCTCTCCACCCCTGCTCTATATATGTTTTAAGAAACTGTGAGGGTTGGAGAAATCAGAGTCTGTGCCTCACATGTTCGAGGTCCTGAGTTTTAATCCCTTACACCACACACACACAATTTTTACATTTTTCAAACTAGGACATATACTAAATTTTCAGAATTAAACACGAGGACTATTTTGAAGTTTGCCTCTACTAGGTTATATCTTGAGCAGGTATTTTAGTATTTTTCTTAACTTGTTGTTATTATTCCTGTTTGGAGGTCATATTTGGTAGTCATATCCTGACTCTGTGTTCAGGGACCAGGTGGTGTCACAGACCAAACTCCACGCTCCTGCATGTAAAGCATGCACTTAACTCTGTTACCATCTCTCCAGCCATTTCTGATTTTTATTGATGTGTCAGGGAAATAGCTCAAAGTCATGGAGTGCTTGCTTATATGCAGAAGGCTTAGAGTTTGCTTCTGGCACTATACAGTCCCTCAGCATTTCTGGGAGAAGCCCCAATGCACTGTGCCAGGAGAATCTTTTGAGCAGCACCTGGTATAGGCCCAAAAGAAAAAATACAGTTTTTCTGATCGACTACTTTTATATTCTAAAACAAGCACATATTTTTTAGCTAGTTGCAGTTTTAAGATTTGAGCATTCCTACAACCTGCAGTTAATAATGGATCACTTCACTTCGTGAGTCAACTTTTTGTGACAAAACTAATCATCTATCCTCTTTAGAAATTTAAAAATATAAAATACAGTATTACTAATTATTTGTAAATTGTTGTATAGCAGATCTCTACAACTTTTCTGTGAATCTGTATAAGCATATATTTTGAAATAAATAATATTAATAATAATAATTTTTTGCATTTTAATGATAGTTTTTCAATTTTTGAAATCTCAGACAGATTACTTGATTTCTCAGTGCCTCATTAATCTCATCTGCTCAATGGAAATAAGAACACCTACCTTGTAGATTTGTTATTAGGATCGAGTAATAGGAAAAGACTAGATAAAAGAATTCTGTGGCATGTAGTAAGCATCAATAAACTTATCATTTGAGGCCAGAGCGATAGTACAGTGGGTGGGCATTTGCCTTGCATCTCATATGGTCCCCTAAGCACTGCCAGGAGTAATTCCAGAGTGCAGAGGTCAGAGTAACCCCTGAGCATCGCCAAGTGTGAACCAAAAAGTAAATAAATAAATAATTTGTTTAAATTATCTTTTTTATTATTGGTTTGCCTTCTTTCAGAAGAAGAATAAAAATTATTTATTTTTATTTTATTTATTTATTTATTTTGCTTTCTGGGTCACACCTGGTGATGCTCAGGTCTTACTCCTGGCTCTGCACTCAGGAATTACCCTGGCGGTACTTGGGGGACCAGATGGGATGCTGGGGATTGAATCCGGGTCAGGCGAATGCAAGGCAAACAGCCTACCCACTGTACTATTGCTCTGGCCCAAAGAATAAAAATTATTAAGCAAGTGTTTTATTCAGATTTTGTCTTAATATTTTAATTAATGTATTCTATCTATAATTATAGTTCTCTACATGTAGATACTTTATGTACAAATTGATATCAAAATTCTTTTTTTTTTATTGTTCCCTTTTGGGTTTTGGGGTTGTTCCTCTATTTAGTTGAAGTACTTCCATGATAGGATAACTTAAAAGAGCTATTCTAGTAATGGATAATTTAAATATTTGTGAAATTAAATTAGGAATCAGGCAGTATGTATTAAAATTCTAATTTGGCAAATAGTTGTCATGTTTCTGGCTCTGAAAGATGGAAATGGTAATTTAGGAAGTTTCCACATAAGAGAACTTATAAGATGAAAATGAGCTAATTTGTGTCTGCTAAGTTGAGTATAAATAGAGAACTTTTTTGGCTAGGATCAGAATATTTAATCTGTAATAATGTACACATTTCTTCGGGGGAAAAGGTGAGAACAAAAAATTTCTAAGGTCTAATTCCATATTTTCAACTTTCTTTTACCTCTGGGTAATTAATCACTCCTACATTTATCATATAAATTTAATTTTTACCTTATGAAGTCCTGTAAAGAGTTTAACATTAGAATCTTTTTTTTTTGATCATTCTAGGCTTGTTTACAAATTGATCCATCTGAGAGAATATCATCCACTGATCTTTTGCATCATGAGTATTTTACTAGAGATGGATTTATTGAAAAGTAAGCACTTTCGGTAACTGTGGACTTTTAAAATGTTTTGTATTGGAAAGTTTTACTGGCATTAAAACTGCTATTTAGGCTAGTGGAACACAGCAGAAAAATCGATTCATAAAAACTCATTGCGTTGTTGTATCAGGGTTTGATTATTTACAGTCAATTATGAAAATTCTGTCGCACTGCACTGTCCTCCCATTTGTCAGTCAATTTGCTCGAGCGGGCCAGTAACGTCTCTGTTGTGAGACTTGTTGTTACTGTGTTTGGCATATCCAATATGTCATGGGGAGCTTGCCAGGCTTTGCCATGCGGGCGAGATACTCGGTAGCTTGCCAGGATCTCCCAGAGGGGCAGAGGAATCTAATCTAGGTCGACCAGGTCAGCCGCATGCAAGGCAAACGCCCTACCACTGTGCTAAAAATAATAAATGCAACTAACGTTTATTATAAAGTTACTATTCTAGTCAGTATGATAAATTCCTTACACAAACTTTCAATGACTGATGTAGGCCAGAGATGATAATAAATACATAATCAGGGGCGAGAGAAATGATAGAGCGGGTAAGGTGCTTGCGTTGCACCCTCATATAGTCCCCAGAGGCTGTTAGGAGTAAGCTTTAAGCATAGCTGAGTGTGGTCCAAAATAAAAATAAAATAAAATAACCAATACTTTTTAGCTTTATCCCCTTTTTTGTCTCTCTTTACAATTGTCTACTGTTTCCTCTTTGGATGACATCTTTGATCAATATATTTTAGTTAGTATTCATTTACCAAGTAATTTTTTTCTCAGATCTATTCTATTTCAATGCCTATTATTTTATTTTCCCTATCAAAAGATATTATGCTTTTTATAGACCTTTTGTTACACATTTAATATATAATATTTAATGCCAAGATAGATTTAAAAATCATCTGTACTTTTTCTTAAAAAAAAACAACATCATTTTTCATTTGGGCATTGAAAGAAACAAGAAGCTTCTCAGTATTTGCAAAATTAGTTGACCTTAGGATGTGAGATCATACAGATGGACATCAATTTAAAATGTTATGTGATGAGTCGAGAAACTGCCATTGAAGATAGACTAAAAATGAAAAAAAGTAAAAAGTGAAAATCCAGAAACTGCCATTGAAGATAGACTAAAAATGAAAAAAAAACTTAAAATTGTTAGGGTAATTAGAAATTTGGGCATTTCAAAAAGGAATTTATTAAAACCAAAGAAAAAGGGGGGGGGATATATTGAAAATGCCATTGGTAAAAAATAACTATTTATTGAATAAAGAGTCACTCATAACTATTTTACATAGATTGAGTTTATTTCTCTGGGGTATTTATTTACTCAGATTTTACTATACAGGGATGAAAGTTCCTTGAGTACCAATTCCTGGAATCCCTAAGCATTGAGGAAGACATTTTCCTATGATATGAAGTATCTTTCAAGGAACCTAAGGTTCTTTGTCCACTACTACAGAAGTAGTGAAAGTGGTTTTGAAAGTGTGATTTTTCTTATTTAGTTGAACTAATCACACTAGTTCTTTGTTTTCTTTGTCTCCTCATTCTGTTTATTCCCAGACAAGTACCTTCACAACACTGGCAAATGTGGACTGAACCTAGGGAAGAATTCATTCATGAATTGATGAATGAGTTACTCTAAGACTCAAACTGTTAGCTGCCTCAAGGAGTGGAAACGATAACTCATGGGCAAAGGAGACTTTTCAGGATATCCTCTTGAATTTTGAGTCACGTGAATGCATTTTCAATTTTAAAAGAAATTACTTTGGAGACTGGGAGAAGGCTCAAAGGGCTAATGAACATCTTTTTTTTTTTTGGCTGGTTTAATCACTGATACTTAATGGTCACACCACCAGGAGCTGACCCCCTAAGCAATATGCCAGAAATATCCCCAAGCACCACCATGTATGGCCCCCAAAAACAAAATACCAGAAGGAAGAAGAAAGGCAGGAAGAAAGGGAGGGAGGGAGAGAAAGAAAAAGAAGAAAGGGCTAGAGAAAAAAAAAAGCTAGAGGCCAGGGGTCAAACCAAGGGCCTTGTGTATTCAAACCAGAACCTTGTGTATTCTAGGCATTCATTCCATCCCTTTAAGACATAATCCCAATCCCTATTTTTGAAGAAAGTTATTTAGTTATTATTGGGGGCTGGGGAGTGTCTAACCTTGCAATGCACGGGGACTACCTACAGGCTTAGCTCCTGGCTAAGTGCTCAGGTTCCTCCTAGTGGTAGTTGGGGGACAAAGTTTTTGTTGGGGTTTGAACTTTATGCAAAACATGCACTCAGACTGCTAGTTTATTTTGCCAGCTCCTTATTTTTATAATAAATTCTCATGGCATTTTTTGTTTTTATAATATTTTTATAATAAATTCTCATGGCAAAATTCTGGGCCAGGGATGTGACTCTGTGGTGAAACACATATCTCAAAAGTGTGAGATATTAAGAAGATATATTTACCTGGAAGCAAATTGTGTTAGGTACATATTGTGCAATCTCTCAGCATGCATTATTGATGACTTATTTACACCTAGATAAAATGTAAATTTATTAAATTGTCCATTCCATTAAAGATACTCTACATTGACAAAAATATTTTTGTTGCTATGCTTATTCCATCAGATTCATTCCGGAACTGAAAGCTAAGTTACTACAAGAAGCAAAAGTCAATTCATTCATAAAACCAAAAGAGAATTCTAAAGAAAATGAATTTATAAAAGATAAAAAAAAATCAAATTATACCAATACACTGGGGACTACTTCAGTGTTGGGAAAGGTGAACAGATTTTTAAAAACCAGTGTAACTATATTATAGTTACCGCTTTAATGGTAAAAATAACTTGTCTTGGGATTGGGGAGGGTGTTTGTTTTGCACGTGACTGACCTTGGTTCTATCCCCTGAACCCTGGAGTGATCCCTGAGCATAGTCAGGAATCAACCCTGAGCACTACCTGGTGTGGCTCCAAAAACCAAACAATAATAATTGTTTTCTTGACTCAGTGTTTGAATGTTATCTGTTTCAGGAATTGGAGAAAGAGAAAAGGTCCAAGGACATGAAAGTCAGAGTGTTAAAAGTCAAAGGAGGAAAAGGAGTTTCTTTAGAACCCAAAAAGGTAGTGTGTGAAGGTGGACGTAGCCAACAGAATGCAATTGAACCAGGTTTTCATACTGTGTCTCAAGATACAAAACCTGTAATAAATGAACCACCACATCCTGTCAATCCCATCGGTAACCCTAATGGCATGAAACATGATCTGCATGCTGGAGGTAGTACGGTGATGCCACCTATCAATATAGCTGGCAGTCATTTAATGACTTCAAATACCAATCCAAATGTCTCCCACTCTAACTTAAGGTGAGTTGTTAGAAAAAATCAAAGCAGATGGGGCAGTGGGAGTGGTGGGTACAGGGGAGGGGGCTAGAAAGAAGAACAAAACCAAAGCAGACCCAAGTAATGAATGCTTTTATAGTTTAATGGTATTTTTTAAAAAATCAAGTTCATACTACTGTGCATAGACTAAATTTGAAGACATTAAAGTTATAATCTTATAGTGAACCATTACTGCATACTTCTGATAACTGTTAAAGAAGAAATTAACTTTTTTTTTTACTTTGTAGATGTTTAAGTTATTACAAATGCCTTTTGGAAAAGTGTGTTTTTAAAGACTCAGAAAAATTTATTCTATAAAAGGGGAAAGAAAAAAAAGAAAAACTTAATGTTTTAAAGAGAAACAAAACAAAACAATATGGCCTGAATTCTGGCATTAATATATTCCTTGGTAAATCAATAAGCTTTATTTCTCTATTATAAATTATTAAAAAGGAGAAAGTATTGTTGAAAATATTCTTTGAGGGGTCAAAGAAATAGTATAGCAGGTAGTATATTTGCCTTGCTAGTGGCCAATCTGGGTTCAATCCCCTGTACCACATATGGTTCCCTAAGCACCATCACCATCAATGGTGATCCCTGAGCACAGGAGTAGAACTTGAGCAGAGCCAGTCTGACTCTAAACCCCAGACCCCTGACCCTCACCACCACCACACACACACAAACACATATTTTTTATTGTCAAATATTTGGAAAGAAACAACTTTTGAGCTAGTTTTAGATTTAGCTATTGGTACAAACTGAGTGATTAGTGCCATGTGAAACTTCAAGGGAAGTTTGGTGGATGATTATGTTCTGTCTGGCAAGTACAAGGGCCAACTCTAAATTTAGGTGAACTACCTTATCTAGATGAGGAAAGAGGTTAAGTTCAGTAACTTGCGTGGATTCTGGCAGCCTGGTCTGGACTAAATTAGGAAGCTTAGTGATTGGCAGTGGAGGGCAAGTAGACATTCTATTTTGGTGGGGGGGGTTGTTTGTTTGTTTTGGGGGGTCACACCTGGCAATGCTCAGGGGTTAATCCTGGCTCTGCACTCAGGAATACTCCTGGAATTGCTTGGGGGAACATATGAGATGCCAGGGATTGAACCCAGGTCAGGCACGTGCAAGGTAAATGCCCTACCTGCTGTGCTATCGCTCCGGCCCAGGTAGTCCAAGGTACAGCAAGCTCCAAACAGAAAGAACCCATTTAAGAGCCAGAATGATAGTACAGTGAGTAAGGCTCTTGTCTTGCATGAGGCTGACCTGAGTTTGATCCCTGGCATCCCATATGGTCCTACCTGAGCCCACCAGAATTGATCCCTGAACACAGAGCCAGAAGTTAAATCCTGAGCACTGCTAGTTCTGAACCAAAAATAGACAGAACAAAAGAATCCAGTTGTACTTACAACTCCCACCCCCTGCCCCATAAAATGGTTGCAATAACCATGGTTATAAATCAGCCTTTGATGGTAAGCATAGTTATTAAATAGTTAAGAATTCCAGATTCAAAATAGAAGGTGCAATGTAGAGCTGAAGCAATGTCACAATAGTCAACATTGATGTTAGCCATGGGTCAGCCGTCCTCTGCTCCATTCTCATCACTCTGCTTAGAACAATGGCCACTTAAGGACTGACAATTTCATATTTCCATTTAGTGTTCAACTACTAGGACTTAGTTAGTACAATGTTCATTACTGAACTTAGAAGGACTTTTTTGAGGGGTAGGGGTGAAGGGTCTGGGCCACACCCAGCTGTGCTCAAGGCTAAACTCCTGATTCTGAGCTCAAGAATCACTTCCGGCAGTGCTTGAGGGACCATATGCGGTTCTGGGGATTGGACCCAGGTTGGCCCTTGTGCAAGGCAAGCACCTTGCCTGCTGGACTATCTCTGTTGTCCCTAGAAGCACTTCTTGAGAGTTCTAATATCTTCTCTCTCTTTTAAAAAAAAATAATAGGTTAACTGAAAGAGCAAAAAAGAGATGTACTTCTTCACAACCTATTGCACAAGTTGCATCCAGTAACTGGCAAGAGGATACAACTCTCACACATGTAAGACAAGAAACTAGTCATGAAAATATGTTTTCTTTCAATGTCCTTCTCTCCCTGTTGTCTTTTTTTTTTAGCTTAGGAATCTAATATCTTTTAAAATGTACTTTTAGGGCTGGAGCAATAGCACAGCGGGTAGGGCGTTTGCCTTGCACCGGCTGACCTGAGTTCGATTCCCAGCATCCCATATGGTCCCCTGAGCACCGCCAGGAGTAATTCCTGAGTGCAGAGCCAGGAATAACCCCTGTACATTGCCGGGTGTGACCCAAAAAGCAAAAATAAAATGAAATAAAATGTCCTTTTAGTTTTCCATTTTTTCCTCTCCCTGGGATAAGTGTATGCTATTTCTTAGTATTTTCACAATTTTAGCCAACTTCTTATAATTTAATTTACATATTTAATGTGTTACTTGTAACACATTAGTTTAATAAATTAAGATTACCACCTTTAGAAACAAGACCTTCTGGTTTTACACTTAACAAAATTTAACAAAGTCTTGTTAACAAACTTAACAAAATCTTGTTAACATCCTATAGACTAAAAATAATTGCAACGGGGCTGGAGCTATAGCACAGCGGGTAGGCATTTGCCTTGCATGCGGCCAACCTGGGTTCGATAATTCCTGAGTGCAGAGCCAGGAGTAACCCCAATGCATTGCCAGGTGTGACCCCAAAATCAAAAAATAATAATAATAATAATTGCAACATGGATATTTTGTTGTTGTTGTTTATTTGGGCCATACCTGGCTCTGCTCAGGACTTACTCCTGGCTCTGCACTCAGTGATCACTCCTGGAATTATGCAAGGGGCCAAACATATTGAATTGAACTTCAGTTGTCTGTGCGTAAGCCAAGTGCCCTACCCACTGTACTATCTCTCCAACTCCAATGTCTTATTTTTTACTAGAAAAAAAAGGCAGTGTGGTCCTTTATATTTTCATAAGAAAGCAACTTATTAAAAATTAAGTACAGGTTAATAATAAAAAACTGAAAATATCACAAATCCACCTAAGGATAAATAACTAATAAAGTACAATTGAGTAAATCCACATGATAGTCAGATACTATCATTACATTATGGAAGAGTAGTTATTAACCACAAAGTTTTTTGTAGATACCTGTAGTCAAGTCAGCAAAATATGTAACACAAAAGAATTTTCAGAATGTTGAGTTCACAAGTAATTCTGGGGGTGATTTCATATTGTCCAGAGCCCATCATTTTGTTTTGGTTTGTCTTTCTTTTCTTTTTTTTCTTTTTAGGTCACACACAGCTATGCTCAGGGGTTACTCCTGGTTCTGCACTCAGGAATTACTCCTGGCAGTGCTGGGGGGGCCATATGGTATGCTGGGGATCGAGCCCGGGTTGGACACATTCAAGGCAAATGCCCTACCTGCTGTACTATCCTTCCAGCCCCGAGCCCATCATTTTATAAAAAGAGAAGTTAAAGGCAAGATAGATAGTACAGGAGGTAGGGTGTTTTCCTTGCATGCAGCCAACCCAGGTTTGATCCCCGAGATTCCTTATAGTTCCCCTAAGCACTGTGAGGAGTAATTCCTGAAAAAAGAGCCAAGAGTAATCCCTGAGCATCACTGGATGTGGCCCCTCCAGAAAAGTTAATTTTTCTTAACTTGAGCTAAAATAGTTCATCAAAGTCAGTACAACAAACAGGATACAAAATTAAAAGTTGGGGTCTGGAGAGATAGTACAACAGATAAGGTGCTTGGTTTTCATTTTGCACATGGCCATCCTGGGTTCTATTGCCAGCATCCCATATGGTTCCCTGAGCCCCATCAGGAATAATTCCTGAATGCAGAGCCCTGAGCATTGCAAGTTGTGAAACTTCCCCCCCAAAAATTAAAAGTTAATGTTTTGATTCTCATAATCAGGACTATACTAAGAACAGTCAATGTGATAAAATAAGATTCCAAAACTTTTAGTGGAATTTTATCTATGTATTTGATGATATTCTACTGTATTCTTAATTGTTAAAATAACTTGCAAAGATAGCCATTGTAGTGCTCTCTTAGGCTTGTTATTCAATAGTTACACATCTTTCTTGAAATGATCTCATTATTTGTTTAGAGTCAAGTGGAAAAGGGTGTATTTAATGAGCGAACAGGTCAAAGTGACCAAATGGCAAGTGTGAACAACAGAAAGCCAAATTTCTTCAAGTCTGATAGAAACGAATTCCACTTCCCAGAACTTCCTTTTGTAATCCAGTCAAAGGAGACTAAAGGAGTGGAAGGTATATGTTTGTTGCATGACTTTACAGATCTCCAGGTGTTGTCTTTTACAAGCTCTTTTCTTTCTTTCTTTTTTTTTTTTTGCCAAATAACTTATGTTTTATAATGTGATTTAAGTATAGGATAGCAAATTTCTATGAAAAGCAATTTTAGCTGTGGAGAATCACCTCTCTTCCTAACAGTTTAATGTAGGATGAGACTTAAAGGAGATAATTTCAAATTACGGTTAAGAAAACTTCAAAGGGTGAATTTTCTAATTAGATCAGTATTGTTTAAACTGTCAAGTAGAATTTGAGAAAGTTAATTTTGATTCAGCATATGACCCGGAATAAATCAGTTATCTGTATTTCTCCATGATCATTTACCCATATGATATATGAGCAGAAATTATATATCTACATCAGTAACTCAAAACTTTATTTAAATTTTGTTTCACTTTCTTTTGGGCCACACTCAGCAGCGCTCAGGGCTTACTCCTGGCTCTGCACTCAGGGATCACTTCTGGTGGGCTTGGGGAACTGTGCGAGTGCTGGGGATTGAACCTAGCTCTGCTGCATGCAAGGCAAACACCCTACCCCAGCCACACAAGTCTTTACTAAAGATTGTTAACATGTTGAGTTTGTAAAGTGAAGCTTTTTTTTTTTACACTGAATAAATGTTTTATTTTTTGAAGAACAGTGACACCTTGTGAAAAGTTAATATAATAACAATATAGAGTGGTACACCTCAAGAGGAATTATCTGATCCACATAACAATTTACAGATCTACTCAGAACTTAGAAAATGGATGTCTTTATTTTTTTAATACCTGGTAGAGGTATACTCTTTAAAAATTATCACTGTCACTGTCCTCCCCGTTGTTCATCGATTTGTTCAAGCGGGTCCAGTAACGTCTCCACTGTGACAATTGTTACTGTGTTTGGCATATCGAATATGTCCCAGGTAGCTTGCCAGGCTTTGCAATGTGGGGAGATACTCTCTGTAGCTTGCTGGGCTCTCCGAGAGGGATGAAGGAATCAAACTCGGGCAAGGCAAGTGCCCTACCCGCTATGCTATCGCTCCAGCCCTTAAAAATTATAAACACAGATAATTTATTTACATATTTTATTAGTTTAATTTTATCAGTTTATAATAAATGGAAAAACTGACTTTAGTGGATGTCAGAATTTCTCGTTGAAATCCTTGGAAAGTAAAATTTGAAGATAGGAACAACAAATTATCATTGTATATATTTCTGCCAAAGTTAAACAGATGAAAGTGCTGAAGAGAGAATCAAAGAAAACAGATTTATATAAAATGCCAACTTTACGTAATGTGGATCAAAATAAAGAAAAACAAGGTAAAACTTTTTTGTTCATACTTTTTACTAAGGATTACTGTTTAGAACACTTGGTATGTAAATTTATTACTACTATAAATTTATATAAAAGTTAAAAATTTTGTAATCCTTGAACTCCAGAAACGTCTGTATTTTTCCTGAATAACCCACTATTGAAAGTTTTTTTTTTAAGCTGGTGTTTGGCAATAGTGAATACCAGCACCTCATTTGAAAGTTGAGTAGTTATAATACCAGTACCTAGAAAAAAATTCTTATTGATTGCTAAACCAGTGTCAGCAAGAAAAAATAATTATATAAATGGTATAGTTATTCTGGCTATAAGGACATTAGTATTTGTCTTTAGCCTCTTCCTTTCCATTTTCTCTCATTTATTCCCCATTTCCAATGTCACAAAGATTTGCTCTCAGTTAGCTTCTAAATAATCTTATTAAAATGTCCTATCTGTGCTCACCAGAGTGAGTCTTAAATTTATTTGGAAATCTTGAAACCTTCCATATCCAAATGAAAACTCTCTTCAAAATTTTCTTTTGAAGGGTAAACACCCACTAAATGAAACCACAAAAGTGCCTTTCTATTCTGCACCCTTGTGAGTTCATCAACTTTATTATCTGTTTCTTATTTTTACATAAAGTTTATTGCATTTCAATACACAATAAAATTAGCAAACACTTAAGAAAATGTGAAGAAATAGAAAAATAGAAAAACTTTGCCTTGAAACTACTAACAAAGGCATTTTAACTAAATCTATTCCATCTCTCGGTCATTCAGGTTTAGTCATCAGACTATTAGAGATTATATAGTACCAGGGATTTAACCAGAGTAAGATACAAGCAATGCTAGAGCTCTAATCTCTGTATTATCTCTCCAGTCCCCAGTCCCATATTTTCAGAAATATAGATGGGAAACAGCAGCTCATTTGTTCTATTCCTGGCTCTTCTGTTGACTTTTATTAATGATCTAACTCAGATGCACGCACTTCCAGCTGTATATTAAACCTCTGGGCATCTTAAATAGTACATATATGCTTTGAAAAGATTCTCTGATGTAGAAAGAATTCCAAAGTTCCTTTTTTGTTCTTTTGTTTTTGTTTTGGGCTACACTAGGCAGTTCTCAGGGCTTACTCTTGCTGGGTTTTGGGAACCACGTGAGATGCTGAGGATAGAATCTGGGTCAGCCACGTATAAGGCAAGCACTCTATCTACTGTACTATATCTCTCCAGCCCCATCCTAAATTACTATTATTGAATGAGTGAAAAGAGGAGAGTTTATACAATAGCCACCTTGAGATCTGTTTGATGAAGAGAATGAGGAATACTTTGCTAAATGATCTCACTGTATCTTACGAAATAAACCTCAAATTACAAAATACAAATGCTTCTCTGTGACTTATTTCCTTAGCCAAGGACTCATCATTTCCTCATCTAAAGTCCTATTTTTATTTACTTTTTAGAACACAGGAAATGCACAAAATGAAATGAATAAGAAGCTGCCAAATATTGGGTAGAAATCTAGAAGCTAAAAAGTCAGAGAATCACTGTGTGGACTTTTTTAAGCCACTTTTTAATTAACATTACATACACAAGCTGATGGAGAGTGTCTCTCTGCCTTTGGAGAAGTCCACATTTTCTCATTCTCTCGAGCACGTTGCTTTCTCTCTCTCTCTCTCTCTCTCTCTCTCTCTCTCTCTCACCTTTTCTCCCTCCTTCCCCTTCCTAAAACCCTCCAAATAAAATCTATTTTAAAATAGATAAATAAAAATAAAAGCCTATGAGAGAATTCTACAGGTATTGTAAAACCTGTATAGTTAAATGTACATATAGTCTCAATTTTATTTCAATTTTAATCTTATAAAATTGCCCAGCTGTCATTTTAATAAAACTGAAACTTACATTAATTGATGATTTTTTAATTATTATTTTTTTAAATTTTATTTTCCTCTTATACTTTTTATAAACACTGTGGTTTTCAAAGTTGTTCATGATACATCAACTGATGATTAACTGATCATCATTTCATCTGATGATCTGTTCCCACAACCTTTTTTGACTTGTGTAAATATTAGCTTTGGTTCAAAGCTATTTAATTATAGAAGGAAATGCTTCTAAATGTGTACTAAAGTGAAACTCCAATGTCTGGAAGCATCAGACATTTCTGAGCAAACAAATACTTGATAAGCACAAAACAGATTTGATTCCCCACTGAAAATTTTGAAACATTTAAATACATTGTGACATAGGCCTTAGTGGATAGGTAGCTTTCCTTGCATCCATGTTCAATCCCCGGCATTCCATAGTGTCCCCTGAGCCTGCCAGGAGTGATCCCTGAGCACAGGGCCAGGAGTAAGCTCTGAATACAGACAGTTGTGGTCCAAAAACAAAGGAAATAAGTAATTAAAAAATAAATTAATAAATATATTGTGACAATTAGGATGAAAACTGAGCAAAGCATTGACATTTAAAGCAAGTTTTAAATGTCTAACATTTAGGGTCTTTAATATTTAAATATCTATTCTTTTCGACAAGAAATAATGCATGTTTATCTTATATTTTGCCCTCAACTTATGTGGCTGGAGAGATAGTACAGAAGGTAAGGCACTTGCCTTAAAAGCAGTCAACCTGAGTTCGATCTTGGGCATCCCATATAGTCCCCCCAGCCCTACAAGGAATGATCCCTGAGCACAAAGCTAGGAATAAGCCCTGAGCACCGCCAGGTATGGCTCAAAAACAAAAAGATTAAAGAACAGAAACCTGAAGAGTTTCTTCCCCCAAGCAGTAACAGTAACTATTTTATTGATATTATTTTTATTGTGGCACCATGATTTATAGTAGTGTTGATATTTATGCTTTAACATATACTATAGTATCACAACGACCACCAGAGTGCCATTATAAGTGCCTATTTTTTTTCTTTCACCAACTTGTTTACCATATAGGACGTAGACTATATTGTTACATATAAGTCAATATTAATATAGTCAAAGTTTGATAATATATGTATTTACATTCTCATCCCTGGTTCTCATTGAATTGGTTTCTCATTTTAGGACGACAATGGCCATTGTGAGGGGGAAGATTTTTAAGAGGAACAGACTTATTTTTCTGGTAATGTCTTTTAAATCTAAAAAATGCAAATAAACAAGTTTTTCCTTTCAAACTTATATCAATAGAATATAACGTGAATTTTTAAGAACCATTAACCATATTAACATTATTCAGTTTTGTTTTGTTATCTAAACATTCAGTGTTCTTCTTTCACCTAAGACTTCTGTTAACGTGACAACTTGAAATGATAAAAGCCTGTCTCTGCCTGCTTCCTTGCTTATCATAAGACTGAGTAGATAATACATCCTGTCAGCTGACACACACCACCATGTTTGTACTATTCTCTGTCGTCTACTAGTCACATAGCATCAAGTATCAGTTATTTTCTGTAATGCTCAGGTTTCCAAAGTGAATTATTAATGACGTAGCACTGTATCTGTTTTAATTTATTTGCTGGGGGGAGACTAGGGCCATACCTGGTGGTACTTGGAGCGGAAGCTAGCCCTTCCTCACAGTGCTCTGGATAATGTGGTGCCAGAGATCTAATGAGGTAGACTGCATGCAAGACAAGCACCTTAACTCCTATATTCTCTATCTCTGGCCCCTGACTATTGTTTTCAAAGCTATTCACTACCATTGTGTCATTAAAAAATATATTCTACTGGTCTCTATAAGAACATTTGTAAATACTCATAAAATATCTGAATATTATATAGTATTCAAATGTAAAATTGTTTGATTCTCTTAAATAACTACTGTAAGTCTTCAAGTATTCTAGTTTCATCTGAAAGTTTCTTTTAGGGGCTGAAGCAATAGCACAGTGGGTAGGGCGTTTATCTTGCACGCGGCCAACCCGGGTTTGATTCCCAGTATCCTACATGGTCCCCTGAGCACCGCCAGGAGTGATTCCTGAGTGCAGAGCCAGGAGTCAGCCCTGAGCTTCGCCGGGTGTGACCCAAAGAGAAAAAAAAGTTTCTTTTTAATGGGTACAGACTTTTTCTGGTTCATAAAATAGATTATGAACAGCCCAGAATGTCAACCAAGATTATTGATTGAGCTTTTCTTCAAAATGCAATAAAATGGAATTTTTGCTTTACTCTACCTGATCTTATTTTTATTAATTGTGTTTTAAGGAAAATGGTAACTTTACTACACAATTATCATCTTTTCATCTCAAAGAATCTTGATTTTTAGAATTAGCAACTGAGATTATTATATATAATATCCCCTCTAAAAGATTTACTTTCCTCCCAGGATGGGAGATGCATGCTAAAAGTAGACTATAGACTGAACATGATTGCCATTCAATGCCTCTTTTGCAAACCACAGCACCCAAAAGGAGAGAGAGAACAAAAGGGAATGCCCTGCCACAGTGGTAGGGTGGGATGGGGGGAAGGGGGTGGGAGGGATACTAAGACTGGTGGTGGTGGAGAATGGGCACTGGTGGAGGGATGGGTATTCAATCATTCTATGACTAAAACCCAAGCACGAAAATTTGTAAGTCTACAACTGTACCTCATGGTGTTTCACTAATAAAAATTTTTTAAATAAAATAAATAAAAATAATAAAAATAAAAATAAAAGATTTACTGTTAGTTTAAGCTGATGATCTCCAGGGAAATTAAGAGTTGTCCCTGTGGTAAATTCAGCAGAATAAAAACCTACCTGTTGCACATGTTTTATACACATATATACATACATACATGCATATAGACTGATACATACATAAATAGATCCTTACATCAATATGAAAGGGGGCTGGAGTGAATAGCACAGCGGGTAGGGCGTTCGCCTTACAAGCGGCCAACTTGGCCGACCCGAGTTCGATTCCTCCGCCCCTCTCGGAGAGCCCGGCAAGCTACCGAGAGTATTGGATATGCCAGACACAGTAACAACAAAGTCTCCAATGGAGACGTTACTGGGCCCGCTCGAGCAAATCGACGATCAACGGGAGGGCCTTTACCTTTTACCTTTATCAATATGAAAGGATTGTCAATTTTTAATTGTTTATTAAAATGTTAGCTAGGATTTTGATTAGAATTGTGTTAACTCTAAGTATCAACTTGAGGAGAATAGCTATCAATAATTTTTCACCTTCCTATTCATGAGCTTGGTATAAACTTCACTTATTTAAATTTTGGTGGGAGGGTGGGGGGCGCACACAGAGCAGTGCCCAGGGCTTACTCCTATCTCTACACTCAAGGATTACTCTGGGAGGTGCTCAGGGGATCATATCAGGGGATTGAAGCTGGGTGAGTGACAGGCAAGGTAAGTTATACTGTACTATTGCTCTGGCTCCTATTTAGATCTTCTTTAATTATTTTCTGTAATGTTTTATATCCAGCTCACAGATCATTTGCTAAATTTATTACTATGTGTTTTGGTTTTTTGATGCTATTATGGGTGATTTTTGTTTTTTCACCTCATCTTTTAGTTGTTTGTTGACAAAGTATCAGGAGGTACAATTTAGGGCCCAGGAGATTATTCAAAGAGCTGGTTACATGTTTTTGCATGCAGGAAGCCCAGGTTTGTTATCTGGCAACTTATGTTCCCTGGTACGGACCTCAAGCTCCATATCCAGGAGTAGCCTCCTCCACCCTAACCCCTGCAACCTTTCTGGTTCTGGGCCACAAACAACAAAAAACATATGATTTTGGTTTTCCCTATTGATCTGTATTCTAAAATCTTGCTAAACTTAGTTACTAAAATTATTTCCTTTCTTCATTTATTTGTTCTTTCATTTGTTTAATTTATCCCTTCTCTGCATATTCCTTTACAAGGATATCCTGTATAGATAATCATGTCTGCAGATAGTTATTTTTAGTTCTTTCCAATGTTTTTGCCTTTTGTTATTTTTTCTTCTTCTTGTATTGATGATTCTTGTATTGACATGTAACGCTATTGAGCAGAAGTAAAGAAAGAGAACATCAATGACTTTCTCTGTTGCAGAGGAAAACATTTAGCTTTTTCCCCATAGCTTTTTAAGTATGTTGTTGTAGGTTTTATACAGATGATTTTTATGTTTCCTTCTATTTGTTTGCAGAGTCCTTGTTATAAGCAAATGTATTCTCTTAAATTCTTTTCCTGCATCTATTAAGATGTTCTTCTGATTTCCATTCTTTATTCTATAAATACTATACTAATTTAATCCTACATTTCTATGATTAAATGTTATCTGATACTTTTGGAGAGTTCCTCTCCTCTCATCTTCCCCCTTCCCTCCCCTCTCCTTTCTTCTTCTTCCTTGGAGATATTTGGGGTTACAACCAAGCTCAGTGCTCAGGGGTGGCCCTGCTTGGGAACCACGTGGTGCTAGAGATTGAAACTAGAGCATCCATATACAGAGCATTTTGTCTAATCATTTGAGCTATCTCCTTAGCTCATTGTCTCCTCTCCTTATTGTCACTTGGGAATGAACCCTTAATCTACAGGATCTGACTCCTGGAAGTTAGTATTAGA